ATAATAGCTAGTATAGCATTATATTTCGAAATTCTCCACTGGTCCTTCAAGTTCGACGGAATTTGCAGGGTTAATGTAGAACCAAAAGTTTCGACTCGGGTCCCCCGGTATTCTCGCTTTATGATCTCCTTTGTGATTTCAAAGCGCCTTTTAAATCCGCATCTCGGCGCGTCTCGGTTCCACTTCGTCACGGTCTGCGCGCCACTTGACGAAACGCGCATCAAACAAAGGCCGCGGGAAGTCGAGGGTGACCGCAAGTTGTGACATATTGCGAGAGATCGCGTATACGAGCGGCCATGATCCGACGTGCTTCGGACGTAGTTTCTGGATACATCCGGACGAACGTCTCGGCGACGGTTGCGCGTGCTATCCTTGCGGCCAGCCGCAAGAATAAAGTCTCTCAAGCTATGGGCAAAATGACCCGATTCGCCCGAGGGGGATGGAGGGGGGGGGGAGGCACATCGGCACCGCGGCAACTTTCGAAAATAACAACGGCTCGATTTTGCGATCGCACGATCGCAACAATATGACATTCGATCGCTACTTTGCGAATTCAATTGCGTCAGTTGCTGCGGATAATTCGGTCCGAGTTGGTTAGATTGGCCGAGAGAGAGGAAGATCGATCGATCGTGTGACGAAGACGAAGTATGCGTCGTTTTCTAGAGCACCTCGCGGTGCTCTATCCAAAGGACCCAAAGTATGCGTAGGAGGATTAAATATCGGGGACCAATCGTCGGTAGAAAGAAGCGTCCGTCGGGCCAGGCACGCGTGCAGGTCTATCGTGCGCGCGGACAAGCAAGGTACAACGGTGAGGACGAAGGATATGAGGAGGGAAGGAGAGGAAGAGGGGAAAAAGAAAAAGAGGATAGAACACGAAGAGGCAGGCAAGAGAAGGGTGGCCCGCTCGACGAAAGAAGGGAGTGCGCCAGAGAGAGAGAGAGAGAGAGAGAGAGAGAGAGAGAGAGAGAGAGAGAAGAAGAGAGAAGACTTCTCTCGAGTCCGGAGCCTGAAATGCGTGGGCGAGTGTGAGCTTGTGTCGCGCGAGTCACCACTCTCGGTTGCCCTGGGCGTCCCGCCGTCCGTCATCCTGTCCGTCCGTCCGTATTTCGTAGCGCGCACGCACACGCACCGTCGCTCGCTCGCTCGCTCGTTCGCTCGCGTGCACGCAGCCGGCCGTACACGCGCGCATCAGCGTTCCGCCAATCACGAACGCCGCGGACGATCCCGACGCGAGGGCAAATGAGTCGGGCTTTTCGACTTTTCGGTCAAAATCGCTACGTATCGGCGGCTGTCGCTCGCGAGCATTCGCGGCAAACTTGCTCTCGTTTCGCGACGAGCGACGAGCAAGTAGCGATCGGACGATGGTACTTTAGGTAAATCATGTTCGCGATATCACGGATGATTTGTTCCTCTCTCATTGACCGGCCGGCACGGTTCGACTTGTCCGCGAGGCCGAATAATTCCGCACACGCGATAAGGGAGGAGGCGATCGCGCAGCCTCGTTGAATGGCGGAGGCTGCCGCGTCGCCACAGCGCAGCGTTATAAATGCTCGTGGCGCGGCTGTTAAGCAATACACGCCTGCAGTATCGCGGGTGGCCGCCTTTCGCGCGACCGTCCGCCGATCGTATATCGGTAAGTACAACTTCGTTCTCCCGCGTATGGAGATGTTATACCCCGGTGCGTACGGGCTCTTACGCAAAAAAGCGCACGCATACTGGCGCACGTGCCGGTATGCACGCACGCACGCACTTTCTCGCAGCGCGAAGCGTGCGGATCTCTCGCGCGAAGTTCGTCGATCCTTTCCCGATACACGATCGCGCGCGCGCGCACGCGCGGCTTGATGACGACGATATCTTTGGCCGAGCGTGAGAAGGGGCGGGAATAAATTTACGATTTACGCGGGACGCTCGATTTCAATTTGCATAAGTAGTAAATACGCCCGGGATTGAGTTACGCAACGAGTAGCTCGCGCGAGTTTCGGCCGCGAACGCTGTGAAAATATCGCTTATTCGCGGGAGGGACGGGGAATATCGCCATTGTGCAACTCGAAGCCGCGGGATTAATGACCGCGCGCCTCGGGATCGCTTCTTTTTATGATAATCGCGGATGAAACCGATATAACTGGTAACTACGCGGTCGTAATAATGTAATCGTTTTATTGCTGGATCGTTTTGCGGAAAAACCGTCGAAGCCAACACACACGTCGCGCCGCGGGTGATCACTTGTTATCGCCGCGTTGAAAAGAGAGAAAAAGAGGGAAGGATCGCGTCTCCTCTAGTGTCGCGGTGATTCCTAAATTTCCCCTCTATCTTTCCGAGACCTCGTCCGGTGCCTCGTGCGATGGCATCGCGCGCGCGCACAGTCAGTCCGAGAATCGAGCTCTGTGCGATCTTTTGAGAAGACGTGAGAAAATTTCTTTTTTCAATTTGAAAGCACATCTATTGTGCTGGATACGAATATAGACGCGATTGCAACACCCGCAAATCGACAGGGCGAGCGACGGATCGATTGCGATATACGAATCAATGTTGAGATCGTAACATTCGAAAGTCTAGTCCCTAACGATCAAATTCATTGATGGGATGGTAAGAGAGCGAGGCGCGAGGTGAAGAGAGAAAAAAGAAACTAGTGCGACACGATCGCGTTATCGACGCTTCGTCGACTCCTTAAATCAGCGAAGGTGAGTGGGGATGAATGGAAGAAAATATTCCTTCCCCTCTGCCCTCTCCTCCTCCTCCTCCTCCTCCTCCTCCTCCTCCTCCTCCTCCTTCTCCTCTTCTTCTTCTCCTTCTTCTTCTTCTTCTTCTTCTTCTTCTTCTTCTTGGTCTCCTCTTTTTTTCTCCACTCCGTGACGAAGAGGGGACACGCGCATGCAGATCACGTCGGTTGTAGCCAAGTGATAGCGTATCTGTGGGCGGCGCGTGCGTGTGGTCCTTCTATGTCCCCTTAAACTCCCCTCCTTTCGGTTCCTTCTTCGCTTCCAGCATGCCCGAGGGAACTCACTCCGCTCCGTTCCGAATCACCGTGACGCGCTCTCCCCGCGCCCCTTTCTCGCATGGGCCACCCCCGCTGCCGGTTTCCCTCCGTTTATCGAGAGGAAGCGGAGTGTGTACGACGTGTGATCGGATGGAGGAGAAAAAAAAAAAGAGGTGCGGCGATCGGCCTGGCCGTTCATTATGACACGATTATTTTAATTGAAAACGCGTCGTCGTCGTCGTACGCGGCGCGGGCGCGGGCGCGGGCGCGGGCGCTATCCTTGCTATCTGCAAGCCGGCTATAAATTCGCCCACGTGGCCACCCCCCGTATAATTAGATAAGCGTCGGATTCCGCAATCTTCTCCGGCGCGAACTTTCTTGGATAATGAAAGGGAGCACGATAATGTATCGTCAGCGTGCGCTCGCAAATTATTATGTAAACGTTCGCTCCGCACAATTTCCGCTAATCACTTGTCGAAACACCCGGTGATTGACACGAGAGGCGAGCGACTAATTTTCGCGCGATTTCCCTCGGATTTCCTGGAATTATGCTTGAGGGGAAAATTTGCTGCGTGAGCACGCACAAAATCCTGCCTGCTGCACCCCGCGACGACGCTATATTTTCGATATTTAACCGCGTAGTGAAGCATTTATATTCCCAGAACAGCCGGAGATCCTACGAAAATATTATTCGAAGCCCCTGTCGTTCTAGTTTAAGTTGGACTCATTGTTGCTGCCGTTTACACTACCTATCTGTGTTGTCGTTCTCGAAGAGGCCTCGGTGGAAAATCCACCTCTCTCGGACACGTGCCCGCTTAAGACGACGGCGGAAAGGTGTCCGTAAGCGGCGCGAGCACACAATGGTCATTGTCGAAAATCCCGCAGACGCGCGCGCCACGGAAGTCCGTCCAAATATCCGTGTCCTCTCGGTCTCCTCTCGGTCTAAAATCCAAACGCGCAGCTACGAGCTACGAACGCGACACACAAGAGCGAAAAGCGAACGCGACGCTCGTCGGAGAGAAGTCGTTCCGGTGTCGCCTGCGACACCGGGGGCTGTCCAGGACACTCTCCCGCGCGGCGAGTGTCCTGCCGGGGCTACCCTTGCGTTCGTCTTCGTGAGTGCCGTGCGCGGTATCCCGACGCCGTAAACACGATTTTGCCAACAACACGCCGGGTTTTGCGGCAAAACGACGGGCCGTAATTCGCGGTAAAACGTCCGCCGGTAAGAATTTATGAAAGCTCGCCTGGGAGTCGCGCCGGGTTTACGTGCGCATACACGGACGAAGGCAACGGGCACCGCGTGTGCTCCTTTTGGACGAGCGGCAGGCGGTGTGTTGTCGACCGGTCGTGCAGGATTCTCCTTATCGACGCGAGGAGACCTCGCCTCCTCGTCTTCGAGACGTCGTACCCCTGGGTATACCCGAAATAGCGTCTCGTTCGAGACCCGCTACCTCCTCTTCCTCCTCCCCCCTTTTCCCCCTCTCTCTCTCTCTCTCTCTCTCTCTCCTCAGCCTCCTCCGCCATCCGACCGGCACCTTCGAGAAAAGAAACGTAACTCTAGACGTATCACGGTGTCATGTCCTGCGCGCACCTGGCGGCCCCGTTCTTTGTAACACAATACACGCGTTTCGTCCTCCTTCTCCTCCTCCGCGTCCTCCTACTCTTTAACTTCTCCTCTATGCCCGACGTATCCTTTTGTCTCTCCTTCTCTTTGGCCCGTCATCAGCTTATACCTAGCCTGGATATGTGGAACGGATAAAAAAGGAAGGAGACAAGAATCTCCCGGTTTAATACCAGGGGGAATGGAATTTGTTGGGTCGGGTGGGTACGCTCGCGCGATGAACTCGTTCGTTCGAATGAACGCTTCATGAGTACTACTCGGCGCGCGCGCGCGCAAGTACGTATACGCATACGTATATTCCGAAAAATCAGTCGATCCGGGGACGAAGAGAATGAACGAGGGTGCAGACGACAGTGAATTAAAAAATAATAATAAATGTTTATATATTTTTTACACGTGTAA